TCCCATATTTTATTTTTCAGCCAGTCTCTCAAGAGCATCTTACAGATCCCAGCCTTGAAAGGAGCGTATGTCCCACTACATCAGTTGCCTCAAATCCTTCCTGTTTTCCAGCCTACTCCTTCTTCTTTGACCCACAAGGCATTGCAAAACAACAAAGTGGCTGTCAGTGTGCATCTGCCTGCAATTATCACTGAGCTGAGCTGCAGTCCAAGTGTCTGTTCAGAAATGTTTTTAGAATAAGGATGAGTAACACCCTGTGATACAGATATCAAAAGACAGCAAATGGCTTACTAGAACAATGACTGCAGTGGATAGTAGGGAGGAATAAGATTAAACAGTTTTTTCCTGCACTCAGTGTTTATGGGATCTCTGTTCACATTTAGGCTCAGTTTTCAATTAATTTGTAAATAAGTGTATCAATATATAGTTTAAAAAAATAATTTTAGATATTACTTTGATTTTTATCTTAGCATTAACGTGCTTTATATTGGAAGATAAAGCCAAGTAAAAGCCAGCAGGCCTTTCAGCATCCTAAATACTATATGAATAATACTTGAAGGTGAACTGGAGTCAGTTCCAAACTGACATAGAAGCAAACCCAGTGAAGTTGTTTCTTTATTACATCTGTGGAACTGTGAACAGCATCTGTCATCCTACAGTGAAAGAATACAGCCTGATTTAGACAACAATAAGATTTTACTTGAGCTACAATGATTTAGATCATTAAAAATGAAATCTTCTTTTAATTAAATATAACTTTCACAATGAATGTAAATTATTTATATTCCATATTTCATTGTTTGGCCTTTTCTAGAAAAATAGACCATCTGATACATTCATCCTAGTTTTCATATGAAAGAAAAAAAACAGAGTATACACCGTACTGCAAGGCAAATGGGGAAATATATTTTTCTAGTGGGGTGATAGTAGTCAGATGTTTCCTTTGCTGTGAGTTTTTATTATGTTCTTCCAGGTTCTGATTTATTTTATACTTTATCAGCTTCAAAGATTCTTTCCTTTCATGCAATATAATATGTTAATTCTTGCTGAAAGTGAGGCTTACAGTCACAAAATCATAATTACTTTTGCATTCTTTTTCTCTCTTTACGATCTTTGTATATGAATACTCAAGAAAGCAGTGGCTGGCAAGAAATTTCAGAAAACTCCATTTAACACTAGAACAATTCATTAGAGGACAAAAACAAAAAGATATAGTTGCTACCTTATTGCAAAATAGTCTATAAAGACAAACACGTAGTGGAAAAGCAGCTCTTGTAAGTACCTGCTCAGCAGTATGTAGTAATGACAGACTGGCAAAGTCATCTTCTTGATTAGGAAGCTCAGAAAGTCTAAGGATTTTTTTTTCTCATTCCCATAGATGGCCTCTCACATGCACACATTTAAATAGATGTATGCTACACTGAATAATCAGGCATCATGATAAATGAGTCTGCATATGGCAGTACCAGAGAGGTATTGTCCCCTTTCTACTAGTAGGAGGGCAGTTTTCAGAAAAGCTGTGTCACCATTATTATTGCAAAAGACAATCTCATGTAGCATTTTACTCAGAGGCTGTTGAGTCAATAAGAAAGTATAATCAAAGCATTTTTCTCATTCTAGCTTGCATTTTTCAGTGTTCTCCTGCCTTTGCAAAGCTCATTATGCTGTTTTAAATAAACAATTAAATAATTTGAATATTCATTATTCCCTTTACAAAACATTGCCTGCAAACGCTGCAATTACAGATCTGTCTTTTTACATAAAACTGCTTTTGACATTCTTCTTGATAGAATTTTTCTGCTTTAAAAATCAAAGGCAATTGATATCCAAGCAGAGTTGTTGTCTATTGAATATTATAGTCCATATGGAATACTATTCCAGAGGAAAAAGCACATGAAACTCTTATAGTGGCTGAGAAAAAGCTTGCAATCTATTAGAACTCTGGTGAAATCTATTTAAGATGATATAAAAAAGAAAGTTACTGATCCCTCATTTATTCTAAACCTTGGTGTTTCTTTTACATTAAAGATCTCACCATTTTTTTGTCAATCAGATCAATACTCAGATTGCCTGTTTAAAAGGTAGTAGTTTAACAGGAAACTAAATTTCTAGAGATTTTGAACACATGGGACTTTCAGGATCTCTTGAATATTCTGCAGGGATTGCTCTAATTATATGTGAAAGATAACTGGGTTACATTTAAGTTCTTCAGTTACTGAAAATTTTCTCTCTCTCTCCCAAATCGTGGAATGTATGTTGGTGAGACATGAGCTATGGAAAAATTTGGGGATGGACTTCCAGATCACAGCAGGTCAGATGCAAAATTACACAAAGATTTTGATGAATATGCAAAAAATAAGGAAGAGGATGGATGCATTGACAGAGACTTTGAAGCTCATTTAATTTAAATAAACTATTTAATTAAAATAGATATTTGAGACCTAATAAGATAGAATATCATTAGCAAAGCTACCAATAAGCATCCTGTGTATGTAAAAATGCACACTAAAATATTATATTATAAATGCTAAAAATCACAACTCTGAAATCAACACAGAGAGCAAGATTCCCAGCTAATATATGAGACTATCTCTCAGGAAAAAAAAAAATAACTAGTGATGTTATGCTGGTTTATGCCTGCTGAACAGCTAACCCAATAACTTCCAACATTAATATCAGAGTATGTGAGTCCACTCAGATTCAGAAAAGCAAAACAAGCCAATGGTCCCATGCTATGCTTCATAACATTCTGCTGATTTCAATGAGACTGCCAGAGAAGTTCCACTGCTACTTGCAAAAGAGTCTTTAACAACCTCAGTTTAAGAGTCTGTGAGAATAGATATTGCCAATATTATATTATCAAGAAAATACTTTAAATCTAATCTGCTTTGTAAAGAAATCATAACAGCTTCATGGACAAGGCACATGTCTGCTCTTCTGCTGTATAAGCCTGGAAAACTGCTTCAGACTTCCCTACCATTGTTTCCCTCACTGTCTTTCATTTACTGTCTGTTAGGACTATGAACTCTCCAGGGCTTTGTCTTTTACAACGTGTTTGTAAAGCATCTCTTATAAAATAAAAGGCCTCCATTTTACTTAAGCCTGCAATTGCTACTGCAGCACAAATAAAAAAAATAGTAACATACTATTGTGCAGGTGAACTTAATCCATTAAAGAGCTAAATAGCAAGCGAGCTAAACAAAAAAAAAATCCTACATGATATTTGGTTGAAAGACTATTATACTCAGAACAGCAATGTCAGTTAAATTGCTTTTCCTCTCAATTACTGTTTTCTACTTGAAGTATATTTAGTAAGCCATAAATCCAAAGGGTGGGTTCTATTTCTTATCACATTTCTGTTGCTAGGGTTTTGGTGTCCATTCAAAACTAACCAAAGTGATTTTAAAGAGATTTAGAACAAACAATCCATTCAAATAATTTTCTTCTCACTTTCCCCAGTGTAAATCCTAATTTTCAGTGTCAACCGGAAGAGACACAGTGCATGTGGGTACCTTTTGTATACACAGAGAGAGAAAATACTTTCAGGTGCTTATTTCAAGGAGAACTAAGCACTTTGAGCCAACCTGTAGTGTTGGCTAAAGTGACTTCCAACGAAATAAAATTACCTATTTTGGTTCAATCTGATTTTTTTTTAAGGTTTTGTGGGGGTTTTTTTTGTATCTGAACTGAAAAGCCCAATACTTGCCCAGGTCCAAAGATTTTTTTCACATCATCACATCACACTGGAGAAACAAAGGAGCTGAGAGAATAACAGTAATAGTATAATGTGCACAATCTCAGGGTCCTTGTATATACATTGTTATTACAAATAAATATGTTAGCTCCAGTTGCTTCTCATATTAACCAGTAATAACAGGTTAACTTCTTACAACAGAAAAAAAAGTGGTACTCCTGAGAAGTTTCCATATTTCTCCACATAATGTGAACGAAAACAAGACAATTGTGAGAAAAGATTTGCTGACAGAGCATAATAATGCAGTTAGTGTCAATCATGTAATACTTCCCTAGATAAAAAGACACAGTGTAAAAAGAAACATAAAATGCTAAATTTATATTACATCTATTAATATGGTCAATGAAAGCAGCACAGGCTTGATGTATACATACTAATTTGTATTGCTAAAAAGTGCAGGTATATTTCTATTCTGACTGTATTTTAAGGAGCACCCTCCCAGTTACCTTAAAAATGAGGACATATTTCCTCCTTAGACAAAACCACCACTCCATTTTGGATAGGTATACACTGCACATACATTTACAAAATTTGCAATTTTTACGTACCATCTGGAGAATTTTTACTGAAGTAAGCTATGTCAGTAAGACAGTACATGTTATTAAGGCTATGCATTCAGCTAGTGGTTTTCTACCTACAGAGCTCCCAAGCTTATTATAAAATTAAAGCTGAGGTTCTCCTGAGGTCTGTTTTAAAATGGAAAGTAATAAAGTCTGAGCTATTGACATAATTGATATATATTTCTGTAGGTACTAAAGAAGAAAAACCAAAAAATACATTATTTTTTTCTTCTAACAAGGTAGAAATTAGACCAAACATCTTTTCCATGCTATACATCCACATTCACATTACCATGAGTAATGAATACTCTGCCAAAGCAGAGTAACATTCAGTACACTAGCAATAAGCCTCAGAATCACAGAACCATTTGCCTCTGACTTAATTAGTTTCCTCTGTAAGAATTAAATTGTGTTTTCTGCACAGAAGAATGTCTTTCTGAATTTTATTGGAGTCTGGTATTAATATTCAAATCCAACAACTCCTCTTGGGCACAGCAGAATGACTCCATTTATTTTACCACATGAATACACAATGCAGCCCCCAAGTGTACATTTGCAGTGGGAGGGGGGGAAGATGGCTAGCTATTTACAAATGAGTCAGAGAACGATATTGTAATATTATATTCCATAATAACATTAATGTTTAAGACAAACATAAAGGAAACATGCTAAGGTACAACCTCTGGTGAAATTATTTGCCCTTTTGTTTTGCGCATCTTTACCCACCTGAACAGCTGCAGTTCACCTGTGGAGTCAGGGCTATGAATTAAGTTGCATTCAAATCAGTAAAGCCAGTGGCAGTGGTTCCCAAACTATATACTATGAGGCCACAGTATGACCAAAGGTACAATGACCCAAAGACCGCATGAGGCCCCACAAGTCTGAAGGGGTTGTACTTCTCCTCCGTAAACTGCCACACAATCCCACTGTCTCCTCCTTGCCCTGCAATTTGGCATACTTCGTCTATTCTTCACATAACAGGCCCTGTTACTACTCAACAGCTCACAAAAAAAAAAAAAAAAAAATGTAATTTGGGTAATATTTGCCCCATACTGAACATAGCCATGAAACCTTCACATCTACACAGTCTTTGTCAATCCTTCTGTAGCTTCTTCCATGATGTAAAACTGGTTTGTTGCACCTTTCTGTAAGTTATTTTCTGGCTACTACAATAGAAAGAAAACATGGGACAGCTGAACATAGAAATTGCATCTAGTGTGTTAAACCATCACATTGTCCTCATGAGCTCTCATCAAATATCTCTGCTATGTGGTTTTAATAAATGCTCTTACATGGTAAAATATATCTAGAATAGGAGTCAAGATTAAAACTGATCACTATTTACCAATTTCTGGAGAAATTAAGTCTCCTGAAGTGTCTCTCCCAGGAAATTAGCATATTCAAATCCTCGTTGTACACATATCACTTCCTAGTAGTGACTGTCCTCCTGCTCTGCTGAAGAGACTACAAAATGTCAAATGTAGCTACCACTCTCTCTCAAACACAACTACTACTCATTTGAAAGAGGATTTTGATACAAGGCATCAGGGCAAAGTCCAGTAAAAGGAGGAATCCATGAGTTCATCCAAGAATGAATAAGCAAATAATGCTCTTGTGCCTGTTATAGGCAAGATCAAAAATCATCATCTTCAAGCTAACCAAAGAAAACAGAAAATTTGTAAGAAAAAGAAACAACTCTAGCTCACAGAATAAAGTTATAACAAAATACTATCATCAACACATAATTCAAGATGGTTTGGACCTAATTTTTAGGATGTATGGCATCAAGCCAGGGAAAATCTGTCATTTAATGGTTGGCTACCCACAGCATGCACAAGTGAATTATACCACCAAAACTGAAAATCATGCTCCTGTGACATTAGGCAGACTAACTGACAGGCCTCCAGGGCATAGACCAGCTCTTGCAGTCCATAAACACCCAAGCCTTCAGCTGTCATTGCAAGCTTTGGTTGTGAGGAAAAATAACAACAGCCCCAAGGAGTTATATTACAACTGTCAAGATGCAGATGTGAGGCATACGCATTATCAGCTTGTCCAGTATCACCTCCAGAAATCATGCTGTATTTTAACTGAGAAGAGTTGCTCTCAAAGTACAAGGATGAAATACCGCGACCTTTATCATTACGAAACCTAATTTCTACCCAGACTCAGAAATGTTTGATATATAGGATAACAGAAGGGAGTCTCAGTGCTTCAGTCATTAAACATGCCCTCCCTCCAATGTGTTCAGCTAAATTCACTTATCAAATATATGTTGTAGGCTGACATTAAGACTGTTGCAATGATAAACCTGGAAGCAATTTAGGGACTGACTCTTCATGAAACACAGCTATAACAAACCACTCAATTAATATGTTGCTGCTATCATAGTTTTCATTTGAACTGAATCTTGGACTAAATTCAACAGCTAGATGACAAACTATATATTCACTAGAGTTATAGTACCCAGTATTTGAAAATGGAAAAATACTGTGAGAATTTACAAAGATATCAGATATTTCCAGAACTAAGAAAAAAAGAAAAGAAAGTAATGATAATTAAATATCACTTCAACCTTGCGTCTTCTAGGAGCAGCCATTGTACTTTGCCATTATCCATTACTTTTAAATTTTTCACCTTCAGAATGACTGAGAAGTGTCCTTCAACAAGAAGTCAGACTTCCACATTCCACTGTTTTCAGAAAGTGTAGAACTAAGTCACTTTCTATTTCTCCAAGAAGGCCAGTATTTTACAGAATCTTTGGGTCATACTATATTTGGTCTGACATCTTCCCCTACAGCATCATGTATTTAATTTCTGTGAACAGCAAAAAATAATGACTGCTTTCAAGAGGTTAAATGATAACATTCCCAGCTTTGTTTTTCTAGCAGGAGGTGAGTCAGGGTAGCCATTTCAAAAGCAGCTGCTTTGGGAATGTTGGCATCATTGGGGCTGGAAGAGACCTCAGGAGGCCTCTAATCTAGCCTCAGGCTAAAAGCATGGTCAAAATTCAATTGCCCAAAAAGGGAAGTTTTTTAAAATAAGCAAACAGTTCAGCCTACTTGAGTACCATAAACACTGATATATAATTGGTGTAATTGATTATTATTTCAAAGCATTACTACAAGGCAAAATTTAGGTTGCTTAATTTTTAACTGCATTCGCAGATCAAGACACTTCATAGCTGCTCTTAGGTTTATCTTTAGTTCTGAATTCCCAGAGGTTTTAGTATGTACTAAATTAATAAATACTAAATTTAATAAATACTAAATCTCTAATTACTACTATCTGTTGTTATTCTTTTTGTTTGGAACTTATAAATAATATTTACTTTTATAGGCACACAAAGTAAAAGCATAAAAAGTATAAATATTACAAAAATAAATAATAAAACTTTAGAAAGACGAGGAGGTGTTTCATGTTATAGTTGACAGATATGAATGTAACTATGCCAGATTTATTTGGACTACACTATGTTAGATTCTCTCTGTCAAACGTTTCCTCTTAAATGGCTGTCATTGAGTATCCAGTGCCAGCCAAGAGGAGACATTAGGCACAATAATTTAAGAGGAATTTAGACTAGATGACTGAGGCTCTTCATACCCACTGAACTGTGTAACATTACAGGCATTAAATAGGATATATGACAGTCTCTAAGATTTCTAGTTCATTATACAATTTAAGGGTTTTTTTTCTCATGTTCAATTAATTACATTGATCATGTAATCCATGTTCATAACTAAACAATTGTGAAAACTTTGAAGAACTGAACAGTTGGGCAAACGAGAAGGCAGTACAGCAATTGCGAAGCATCTTGGACTGACCTAAATCAAACTTTTGCTTATTATTACTTCCAGCTTGTCAAATAAGACTGTGATGAAAGGGTAAAAGACATTTTCAGAATGTTATTCTATCATTTGCTTTAAAAATTCATGTGTTTATAAGCTATTAGTGTATTTAAAGATCCACCATGTTAAGCTTTCGGCAATACTTAAAGGTGCAATTAAGCTTGCATTCGATTTTAATTTTAATGTGGTAGATTTATAACTTAAAATTTGTTATCATTGTGCTGCCCATTTAACTCATGAATTTGCTGAAGGTGTCACAGATGATGGCACATACTTGCACATACTTATGCAAGTACTGAACTAATTATTTTACTTCTGCTAGTTTTTATTTCATGGATAGAATAAGTATTACCGTGAATTTCACGTTGTAGTTATTTAAAGTTGTCTTCCTTTGACACGAATACTGTGATACCTTGCTTGCAATAAATGATGGCATTTCTGATTCAGGTGTATTTAAAGGAGGAGACCGATCTTGTTCCTAAGGAAAAAAAAAACAACCATGGGAGAAGGGTTGGTGACACACCTGTCAAATAACTTAGTATACCAAAAATACATTTCATGAGCCCAAAATATGTACATTTAAATGTGGTAAGATAATAATAGAGCTCCTACAATATTCCTAGGAAAACCATTTAACTTCACATTGGCTGCACTGACAATACCAGTTTATCTGGTGATTACTGGGATTTTTTATTTTCTGCAGTAAGTTCTTGCTGGGCGTTTTCAATGGCACTGTCATTTAAAAAAAAAGTCCCTCTCTACATGGCAAGTCTCTCTAGTATTACTCTTGTTATTGCAGTAATATTGAAAAACTACAAAGCTTTAAGAGTGGATAAACTTGAAAGAACAGAAAGTTTTCCCAGAAAATAATAGATGATTCAATAAAGATCAGCATGTCAGACCAAGGAGGGGAAAAAAAAAATAAAAATAGAGATGCTCAAATAACTGGCTTTTTTGATCTGTAGCTCAATTCAGTAGTAGAGGAAAAATGTTTGTATGACTTCAAAATAAGCTTTCCCCCCCCATTTTAAATCCAAATAAAAAATTAAATCCAAATAAAAAATGTTTTCCTTCATTTTACCTGGAATTTACCTGGGGCTCTTCCAGGTAAAATGAAGGAAAACATTTTTTATTTGGATTTAATTCATTAAGCTAAATGTTCTATTTTGGGGTCATTATAAAGCAAAGGAAACATTTACCGACAACCACAGAAGAGTCATTTCCACCCTTCCATCTAACAGCCAGTGTTCACTTTATGATGTGGTTTCTCACTCAGCCCCTTCCATACATGCTGAGGCAATCCAGACATCATTTCTAGGTGTTCATTGGAACAAGGAAAAGGAGTCAGGAGCCAAATATTCAATGGGAATTTCCCAAGCACCATGCCACCCTAAATGCTCACTTGCTTTTTGCCTAATTTTGTTCCATCCAAAATTAACAAGGATCAATGAAAATGCCTGTGAGTAACCCACTCCCACTGTAGCAGGGTGGGAAGGTAATTCTCCAGAAAGACAGGATGCACAGAGTCCTGAGCGCGAGGCCTCAACATACAAGTGTTCTGACCAGTAAGCAACTGGAAAAAGACATCCTGGCACCAGCTTTACCACTGGTTTATATGCCCAGTCCTTTAATTCCTTTGCTTTCATTGAAAGTGCCCAAATAAAAAATACTTTGGAAACATCCAAATTGTTCTCAGCATTTCTACATACTTTTCGTTATTTGTCATTTTGTCTGAAAACATTCGGCAGATCTGTCAAAAACACATTGCACTGCACTATCCAAAAGCCACAGGGAAATGGTTCAACAAAAACAACAAAAAATGTCACAAAGATACATGGAGGAAGTTTTCACACCAATAATGGAATAATGAGCCCTTTATTCCCCTGTATCCAAAGACATACAAACATAAAGCTAGCATCTGTGCTAGAAAAACCTACAAATACATGCATGTTCCTTCACACATACACACCTCACATATAATTTAATGCTAAATTGCCTTTGTATTTGATACAGAATAGTTAAATCATAGTATTTTCGCACACAGAAAAAAAGGCATTTGCTTGCACAGCTGAAGCAGCAGTGAATTATAGGGCAGTTTTCATAGTATACACTGAAAGAAAGGAAGCTATTTTATGTGTAAGACCACTCTTGGGAATAACCAAAATGGGTTTCAGCCAGGATCAACAGCACTACTAGTCATCCACTTTTGCACACATTCATAAATTATACTTTAAAATTGATTTTAAATCATAAAAATCATAAAAAATATGATCAATTACAGCTTGAAATACTGCTTGAAATGATAGTGCCAGCTGCAAAGACTATGAACAAACTGAATATTACTGAATAGAAAATATAATAAGCTATAATCTTCATTAAGACATAGACACACAAAAACAAGAGCCTTACATGTGGCATAACCTGGCATTGTGGATGAGAGCAAAATTAACACAGAAACTATGCGTTTAAGAGGGTGATAAACTGGCACATAACCATCCTATTCCTGCCTTAGCAAAGATATTTGAGCATTTTTCTTAATTAGCAATAGTTATGCTTTTAATCAACAGGACTTGATTACATACAAAAACAGAAGAAACTTCAGCTAGAAATCAACAGCAAAAATGTCTAGCAGACTAATTACTATAGTCTGATTTTTAGGGAATATTATGCTGTCTGCATGAGGACTACAGAGATTATCTCCCTATCATCAGCAGAACATAAGAACAGGATTGATATTGCTTTTTGGTGGAAGGACCAGAAGGGATAAAATCATTTGTACAGATTATGGGACAAACCTAAAGTTTCATCCAGTAGCAATTAGTGTAGAACAGACAATGCTGCAAACTCACACTGCTTCAAAATAGTAGTACTGGGAAGAAAAAACTACAAATATGAGAAAAATGTAAATATTAAGGTTTTTTTATTATTTTATTTTTTGCAGATAACTCCACTACATTAAAATGAAATTATGGTACACTGCACAGGGGTAACCACTGAAATAGGCTACCTAATTGCTAGAGCTAGTCAGAGTTTGTACCCCAAACCCAGGCTGCAGTAACAGTGAATGTCACTGCCACTCCTTCACAGTGACATTTTCTACATGGCATAAGCAGGAAAATCAGCCTGTACCGTTCTCATCAGTTTGTAGACCAGAGAGGATCAGTTACAGAATTAATCTTGTAGAGGACTACTTCGCTCTTTGACAAACTATTGTTTTAATACACAAAGAAATATAATGACATAGGGAAATAATAAAGAGAGAGAAAATGGAGCAGCAGTGAATAAGGTGCGCAGATACTAGAGCCTGTGTCAGGCCACATTATTCTACAACCAGCAGCTTTGTAAAGTCCAGACAGTGTTGATCAAATAATAAAGTCTGCTGATATCCAGCATTTTATGAAGAGAAGGCAGCCAAGTTTATATGTTTCATTTTATTTTCTGGGAAAGTCTTACTGTCAGTATGAAGGATTTCTTCCATTAGTTAGAGCCTCTCTCTTTCACGAGGCAACAGAGTGAGACACTCTGGAAAGTGTTAAATATGAGTTGCCTGCAAAATGATACGGCAAGCGATCAAAAGACACAGTAGTTCCTTTTCCTAATGTGGAGGGAAATACTTTGTTCAAGGAAATAAATCTTTTTTCCTTTCTAAAAATAATAACTAACCAACAACTTTGAGATTTAACTGAGGAAAAGACAGAAGAGGCAGAGTCACAGCACAGTTCCTAATGGTGCTGAGGATGCCAATACACTTGCAGTTCTTTTCCTTTCTTTTTATCCCTCTGAAAGCTTCCCCTCTGCCTTTTTTTCCATAACCCAGGAAACAGCACTACTTTCTAGCATGTGGGGATGCCCTGGCATACATATTGATTTCCATGTTCTGCTATTGTCCAGGATACCCATCTGCTTGTGGTGAGGAAGGTGCCTCTGGACAAAGGCATTCCTTTTCCAGAGAAATATTTTTATTTCCCTTTAAAGCAAATCTTTGGCTACCACACTTCCCTTGCTTATTTTAAATGAAACAATGGCTATTAGCTATAAAAATCAACTGTTACCAAATAGATCAATAAGATTTCAGACCATCCTGGATTTGGTCACCCAACCTTTTATACTCTATAAATCACTAGCATCAGAACATCTCTTGGATCATTCATAACCACAGAAAGATGTATTTTAGTGACAACTGTAATTAATATGTTACCTAATGGTCTGTAACCCTGACTTTATTCCCCTTGTTTTGCATGGAGAAGGACATTTCTTTTTAGTAATACTTAACAATAAATGCCCTGAATGAAGAACAACCTTCCAAATAATAACATCTCAAAGATGGAATCTTACTGCTATTGATATTAGTGGGAATTTACCACCAACCTGCGTGTAGATGAGATTTCACCCCAAACATTCCCCCACTGCAATTCATTCCTTTTACCTCAAAGCCTTTATGATGCAGCCTGCCTTCAAGGTTTGTTAATTCACTTTCATTTCACATTGTACAAGACTGACATAATGGACCAGATTTGTCTTCAGCGAAACTCCAATTAAATTACACTATGTCCAAGTTCGGTCTAGTACTTAAAAAGAAAATTAACCTTTACTTCAATCCTTCCTCATTTCTCAAGGCAGAAAAAAATAACCATTGTGACACTGCAATAATAAAATTATTTCTAAATTTGCTGAATGTCTAGAATCCTCTTTCTTCCTTTCTTGTTTGCTTTACAAAAATGTTTACTACTTTAGAGCTACAATATAATTAAGATTGGTCTTAACTATAAGCTTTAAAGTCAATGGTACAACTGTCACTCACTTGCTTATTGCACTCTACATTTATTAGCATTAAATTTTTGTGTTTCAATAAGAATGGAAGCTCCTACTTGCAGAGCCAGTCTCAAAGTGTAATAATGATCTCCTGACAGTGCTGCTACCTTTTGAGATGTTTCTGCTCCAGCAGTATTCCAGAAGAACTTTTCTATATAGAAAAAAACTAAGGCAGTTCAAACCTTGCAGTAGCCTTCTCATTGGTTAAAAAAAAAAAAGTAATAAGCTTCAGCATCACTGGAGACATTTTAGAGAAAGACAAAGGCATTTCTTGCTTTGAAAAGGAAGAAAGATCTATGAAAAGTTATTTTATGAGGTATCTGAATCTATAGGTCTTCACGCACTGCTGAAATGAAGAATGTACATAAAGGGTAATTTGGTTTACTTTAATTCCTGATGTGAAACTTTCAGCAAAGCTCACAGGATTTTGTTCACATTTTGGATTGATTTCTTATTTAGAGAATTTCTTTGTATTCCCCGTATTTCTATTTTTATGACCTATTTGTCTGTAAGATTACATAATGCAGTAGTTACAAGGTTTTCAGTTTTCTTCTGTTTTGCATTAATTTCTTTGGTCTATTCTCTCCCCAGCAGATTCACTGAAAATATTATAAATATACTGCAAAAATAGTTCATTGGAAGGATTGAAAGTACAAACACGTATTCTGTCATGGAATTATGTTGAGTCTGAGAGCGACAGCTCCATTTGGTATATTCACTCCTTTCCCCCGGAATGTTATTAAACAGTAATTCTTACATGTAAAATCCTGGAAAACAGTGTCTAGCAATGAAAGATGACTGAAAAAATGGATCAGAAGCTACAGTTTTTCTTTGGGAAGGGTGGTATTTATGAATCATCCTTCCTAATCTAAACATCAGAATGAAGTAGTAGTAGTGCAATATTGCTGTTAAATGTTCTGGCATCCTCTGCCTCACAGGAAGATACACACTGTAGATCCTGCCGTGGTCCCAGTGTTCACAGGTTTCCTAGTTATCATTTTGTAGTGGGGTCATAGTTCACACAGAGCCTAATCCAGACCCTCAGAAATCAGCAGGGATCCCTCACTTCACTTCAGAGAGCTATAGATCAGGCTTCTACTTCTCTTGACATACTAATTTCTTCACCAGTCCATGTTAAATCCATCGCTGTGAAGCTCATGTGCATGCAGAACACAGGAACAGGTTCACCCTGCCACAGTACAGGGTTTCATTCACGGCCCAGCACTGTCATCGTGCTGTGCACAGCACAGACAGCCACCCTACCGCACCCTCATCATTTACAGTCTGTACTGGAGGTATTGAATATCACTACTTCACACTATGCTCCAATTTGAGAAATCAGCACAAAACTTTTTCAGGTATAGATCAGGGGGAAAAAAAAAAAAAAGTCATCACCAATTGCTTCAAGGTCAAGCACCATTCGCCAAATAATCAGGTTGCCATTCACAATATCCTCTGATTTACAGCTCCCATTGAGAGATAATACAACGAAATAAAACGTTTTTTCTTAGCATAGTTTTACTTGACGATACCAAGTCTGTAAATACCTGTCCACAGACTGCAGTAGCCTTCATTTCACTGGTCCTTCAAGGGCCCAGAAATTAGCTGATCGCTTCCAAATAGCAAAGGCTTTCATACTTTTGTACTGTTTCGAAGAGCCAAAGTATTCCAACATGAGCCCATTAAAATGCACTGCTCTCAGTGGGACATTTACTATAATGTTGAAGTATTTGTGGAAATACCACAAGTACCACAATAACAGCAAGTGCTTCACTGATGGATATTTCCCCATTAATAGCACCCTTTTTAAATTTTCTTTTTCTGTTGTTTTGTTTTTTTCCCCAGGAATTATGTATATTACCAGTTTGTAACATGACAACATATTAACTTGGCATTACCAGACACTGATATAAAAGGTATTGAAGGTCATTTTAATCTGTCTTACCATGAGACGATACTTCATTTCAGAATCAACTGGTCTTCCTGCTTCCATGCAGGCTGTGAACCAGGAGATATCCAGTAGTTCAAACCTGGAGCTGTTACCCACAGCCTGTCCTCTCAGCCAGTCCAGCACCTCCACGTAAGAGTTGTTTTCAGCCACAATATGAGTGACAGAATCACTGTCAAGAAGTACACAAGAAGAATTTTTCTTTTTTTTTCCTGAACCCAACTGTACGTGAATACAGAGCTGCTATTGCCACATTTACTTACCACGCACTTCCTGAAAATTGTAGTGTATATTGTATATTAGGAGATGGGAAGCAGTTGAGTTTTCATATCACAATATATCTATTCCAGTCACTGAATCTGCTTTGAAGAAATACTAGCCTGACAGCTACTGTAAGTGTAGCATTTTCTTTCTTTCAGCATAATTTGCCTTCCATAAGACACTATCCTATTACATATTTTTTGCAACTCTGAAAATATTTGGCTTGCAGGAGCAGTACCATAATGAAAAAGGCTGCTTTATGATACCTGACAGTCCCTTCCCAATATTCCTGATCAATGAATGAAAGCTTTACAGTATTAAAAAGACTTAACAATAATTCTTTAAAGCTTAGTAATATCTTTTCGTAAATCTAACTTTTCTGTACTTACATTAATGTCTTTACATATGGCATTGTCAAATGTTCATGACAAATCTTATGAATTATGGACTCCATCTACATCCATACTTCCTTAGTACTAAGAGGCCAGTCTCTTACAAAATTGATACCTTAGTTTAGTGAACATAAAATTTACAGATTATCATTCAATAGATTATATGGCGTACATTTGCAGTCATGCAAAGTCATTTATACTAAATTTGTGTTAATGTACTGGAAAAAACATTGGAAAGAATCCCATGACAGTTCATGATTAAAAAGACACAGTTCTGCACCTTCCACAGGAAAACAGTGAACAGGGACAAAGTTATGTTTCAAGAAAAAGTTACATACATGCTTAGGATAATTTGTGAATTTCTACCTAACCTGCAAATGTTCCTGAGCAAGTTTACTGCAAGTTTACTACTAACTTGGTAGGAAATTTTGAGCGATTCCTAGTGTTCTCCTCCACACACACTCCAGGATAGTGCTGTCACCCACAAATACAACAACAGATAAAGAAGGAAACTCTTCATTTTCATGAACTTCTAGGACCACAGTATCTCTGAAATACCTGAAAAAATTAACTGATATCAGTCAACAGATTCCTAAACTTCTTGGGGGAAAAGCAAAGCCAAACAATGTCTTTACTTGGCTTAGTTTTATAGAAATAAGACTGGAATTGGAAAATACTTGTCCTGATGGCAGCCGTCTCCTTTTGCAAGCCTTCATGACCTCCTGCAAGCCCACACTGGTAACAGCCTTGTGCACATACAGTACATTTCAAACAGACCTGACAACCTGGTCTAGTGGGAGGTGTCCCTGCCCATGGCAAAGGAGTTGGACTAGGTGATCTTTAAGGTCCCTTCCAACCCAAATCATTCTATGATTCTATATACTATGTTTTGTAAATATAAGAATGTATTGAACATAATATACTTCAAAAATATGAAAACTGTTGTGATATAGCACAATTCCTTTCTCTCCATATTGTGCAACTTGCAGAGCAGAGTACATTGGAAAAAAAATAATCCAAATTTATTTTAATCTAAAAGATCACAAATAAAGGTTAGATGAATCTCCATGAAATACTGTTGGGTTTATTATTATTTAACCCTGCTAGGTTCTACTTTAATTAAATTGTCACATCTTTACTTGAGTGAAAAAATAAAATCAGTTAAAGACATAGAACTTCTGCTTCCTGTGGTTTATTTCACTTTATATAAAATATTCATATGTAATGTATTTTTACTAAGCTGCAGATCTGGGAACTTTGCCATCACTATGCTCGCAGCAGCAGTTTAGCTGCTGTGCACCAGTTTCCTCTGGTACCTGTACAGCTGTGGTTTTTTTTCTGGGCACAGAACTTAACAAATTTAGCATTTCCTCTGGCACTTTCAAAAACAAAAATCTACAGTTAAATAGTTCTGTTTTATCCAGTAGCACCTAAGCTGAAATTAAACATAACACCTGTCTTGCATACAACTTAAAGTCTGAAATATTGGCAATAAATTAAAAAGCCTCTACTCAGTCCTCAATGGATTGTTAGTGTAGGATTCAGAACAGCCCAGTTCATTTTTTTTCCCAAGAATTCAAATAGTTTTGTATTAGATGCTAATTGCCTACTTCTGTCCAATACCTTCTTGAATCTTACTTTACAAATTATTTCATCCTCCCTTCTTCCTCAGGCTTTCAAAGTTGATAAGATTGAAAAAAATCTGTGGAAATGAGCTTTTTATAGGGAGGATCCAGTTGTATACTAACTGCATACAGATACAGAGAAATGATCAATACTTGGTTTTCTTCCAGCTTTTCAGAGAACCTACATAATGATGTAGCTTTTGGAAAACTGCATAATGATATAACTAGCGCTCATGAAAAGCACTATTTGGAAGAATGCTTCCTTCAAAATGAATTAGCTTATTGAAACGCACAAAACAAATCTGCAGCTGGAGTATATTTTGACCCTGAAATGCCATATCTTTTGTATTTTATTCCTAAGTTTTTTTCTCCAATACTCTTCCAGATTCTACCAAAGTGTAAGCCAGTAATTTTGAAACTCACAGGGGGAAATAAACAATGGCTGATGATTCATTCATTTCAGTGAGACTATACAAATGCATAGAAACATATCGCACAAAAAACATTTGGAACTTCGCACCTTACTTTTTTTTTGTTTTCCATGGGAGAAACAGCACAGTGAAAAACAGGCACATTAAAACTGACAGACTTAAGATAAAGTATAACCACAGATTTTAGAGGCAGAAAAAAACAGAAATTTTGCTAGTGTTTGCATTCTGCCTGTTTTCTGTTCAGATGACAATGGAAATGAACCACTTAGGAACACCCACAGAAATCTTGAAACATCTTCATAGTGGGAAGACCAAAGTATATCCACTAAGTACATAGACAAAAACTTCAACCACAGTCACTTGTGTGACTGCATTTATTACATTAGAATGCTTCAAGCAGAATTGCTACTTTTTATTTCTAAACATTTTCCTACCTTAGCTCACTTTCTACTCTGAAGCCTTTTCTTCTTGCCAGTTCCATCAAAAACGTCCTTCTGGTCAGCCCCATCTTCCTCTGCATAATAAAAATCACAAATTCACTGAACTTTATTTCATAACTGCAGGAAAGGCTTGGGGAATGTATCCCTTTCTGTCTTTTCCTCTGAGAGAACAGAGCTGGAGCTCTGATCCTATCCATGATGCAAGGTAGAAGTGTTTTCACCTGGGTAAAAGCAAGATAATGTGCTTTCTGCCAGGCAGTAGCTGTATTTAGTGTCACCACCCCTTGCAGTAATTTTCTTCTGTTTCCTCTCTGAAAACAAAAACAGGTGCTACACAAGAGGAAACATCACTTGCTTTCTCCAGCTGGGACTTCTTGCACAAAACCACTCCAGACAGGTACAAATATGCTTTCATTCCTTAAAACAGCCATTACTCATAAATAATATTGAGCATAGCAAAATTATCTCAAAATATCAATCAGGTCTTCAGCTGGTTTAATGGCCCAGTTCCAAAAATTTCTGTTTTCAAATCTTCTCCAAATCTCACTTTTTCAAGTTGCAAGGCACATTACTTTTCAATTTATTAAAAAAAAGAATTCTCCCTATTGTTAGTTAGAACCTATGTCTTAGAATACAACTAAATAGCAGTATAAAAATGCAGTATAAAAATACATTACAGAATAACCTGTACAATTCTACTTCTGTGTAACTTGATTAAAAAGGGATAGACTTTTTTAAGAGAGGAAACAAAAATACTTTTGAAATTAAACTTACAATAAAAGAAATCCTTTGCTGTTTTGATACTAAGGCAAGGAAAGACAAAGAGGAAGCATTAGAGATGTATTTAAATAGACCTTCAGCATGCATTGCCAACATTGCTTTCTACTTTTTGCCCCAAAAAGTACTGTTGTCTGTGACAGGTACAGTATGGAAAAGGTAACTACCTTCCTGCTTCTAAGCATCCAGTGACCTCCAATCAACTACAGAGAAGATTATGGAGGCTGTATACCATCTTCCCCTAGAGGATGAGGTGTTGGTCATCAGAGAACTACACTAAAATTTGTTACAGATATTAATCCAGTTAGGCATCACCCTGAATTTCCATCAGCACAAAGTGAATGCAAACAACAAGGTTTACAGCTTTTGCATCTATTTCAGGACAAGTCTACTTCAGCAGTAAATATCCCCATTTACATGCCAAGTTGGATTTTTATTTTTAGTGTAGCAGAGAATTTGAGTTTTACCAGTCCTTCAGAATGTGTCAGATATGTTATAACTTGCAATTCTCATTGCTCATGTTCAGCAGAGGAAGCAAGGTGGAAAATCCTGTCTAAGTCAGATCTATCAATCTTATTTTCAGTCATTTTATCATGGATGGATATACAACCTGAGTTACAGAAAAATGAGTCAAAACCTGTTTCCTGCAATTATGGCTATGAGTTTAAAATTAAATTATAAAAACATTACTGACATTTTCTCAGCCCTATAGCTCTTGCTGCTTCAACTGTATTATCACAGATATATAGAAACAGTTTTCATCAGAATAGAAACTAACCATCAAAAATTAATCTAGAGCTCTCAGCTTTGGGGTTTTCCTGAGGCCATGAAGAAAAAATATATATATAGTTCAGTACATAGACTAGACTCCATTCATTTCTTCTCTTGCTTAAGGATAACCCAGAAGCCAAAATATCTATTCGTCTTTCTGATTCATAACATTAAAATTGTCAAAATAAATCATTTCAGGGTTATTTTGAAATTATATATTTTCATAGGAATTGGAAAATGGACAAGCAGACTTTAAGAGGCTTAAGCAAAAGAACAGCAGCAAGGAAGAAAAAAAAATAGTGATGTGTCTGGCATTAAGGCTGAGCAATCTGTATTAGTTGCTCTATTTCTGTTTTCCAGACTGCTAATCAACCATTGAGCACTGGCCATCTCCCTCTTTACAGTCTTCCTAGGCTTGGTACAATGCTTTACTTTATCCCAAGCCCTACAAGGAATAATGTATTTGAGAACAGATTCTTTACATATGTAAAACAAAGTCTTAGTTTATGTTATAATTAATTCAGTGCTCTCAAACATGTAAATATAATTTCCCCCAGTGTAACATAAAGATGCTCAGTGCCAGTAAAATCCTTCTAGCATCAAAAACATAAGTTATTATTCCTTCGTGTTACTGTAATAATTCTTGAGCCAGATTTTCAAGGGTATTTAGGTGCCAAGAAAGCTGCAAACAAAGGCCTAGTGGGATTTTCAAAATATCTAAGCAGCCTAGGCACCCGGCTACTTTGGAAATCAATTTCTGGCTTTGAACCTAATGCAGAGAGATTTTCTCTGTCTAATAAACACAGTATAATATCATGAAAAGGTCTCTGCCAATGGTACAATTTTATTAAATGTATCTTCTAAAATTAACAGGATTTCCATATACCAGATGAATGAATAACCTACTCTCCTACAACTTTACAGTATTTTTGACTGTCCTGGTTTGAGCTAAATAGAAC